GCGCGCCCGCTCCTGGCGCCGGGGACCGGCCGCGCGAGGCTGCCGGGGCCGGGCGGCAGCATGCGGAGCGGCGAGGAGCTGGACGGCTTCGAGGGCGAGGCCTCGAGCACCTCCATGATCTCGGGCGCCAGCAGCCCGTACCAGCCCACCACCGAGCCGGTGAGCCAGCGCCACGGGCTGGCCGGCCTGCGCTGCGACCCCGACTACCTGCGCGGCGCGCTCGGCCGCCTCAAGGTCGCCCAAGTGGTAGGTGCCGGGCGGGGCTCCAGGTGCCGCGGGCGGCCTAGCCGCGCTTTCTCCCCGCGTCCCGCCCGCGCTGCGGGGCGCAGGCCTGGCTGGCCTCTGACGCGTCCCCGCGTCCGATTCCAGCTCCTCGTACCTTTCTCCCCTGTGGTCCTCGCTCCTTTCACCCTCCTCTGGGGACCCTGCTCTCGGGCTCCTGCCCGCTCCAGTCCCGCAGCCTCAGGTGTGTCTCTTAGCTGCACACCTGCCCTGGGGCCTACCTGCCCACGATTGCCTTGGTTACCGGGTTTGGTGGTGCGCGGAGGCGGCGCGCGGGGGCGGTGGTGTCAGGCAGCCCTCTCGGTACTACTGGGCTTTGCAACTTGTGGCACGTTTTGGGGGCCCACGAACCCACGGATGGTCCTTGTCTGCCTCCAGAGACTGCGGACTGAAGCTGCGTTTCTTCTCTGGCACCTAGCAGGGTGACGGCATATGGGTACCCTATGAATGTTCGTTGAGTTCCAGTTATACTGCAGAGGTTTGAGTCTTCCTTGCATCTCTTGAGTCCTCTGCCCAGCACAGTGACTGCCATTGCCCATTTGGTACCTAGGGTTAAATCACTGTGGGCGAACAGCTGGGTTGGGAGCTAACAGACTCAGGGAACTTTCTGTTAGACTTGTCCATAGTATAGTTCATTTCTTAAGAGTCTTATTTTTTTTTAGCCCCAAGGTGTTCAGGGCAGCGACCTGTCAGCCCTGTTCCTGTTCTGTGGTTTTGTAACAGGCTTCCCAGCCGTTGCTTAGTTCTTGTGGACACTACATATTCCACTTAAGAAGACCCTGTGTCTCTGCATAGTCCCTCTTACAGGTCTGCCTTCCTTGGAGGCCCAGCCTCAGAACTTTATAGACTTCTCAGCCAGTCAGAGAAGCCATTTGCATGGAGCTGAATATATGTGCATTTTATTTCTTGAAGCAGCGGTTCTCTTGTGCATACTTGATTTCAAATGAAAAAAAGTAAACATTCCTCGGGAATAATACGTGTGGACACTTCTTCAATAAAGGTCCCAGTGTTAGTAAATTGCAGAATCATACTGTTCTTATCTCAAGGATGGAAGGCTTGATTGTTGGAGGTAATTTTGAAGGGCTTTGAGGAAACGGGGGTCTCACTATGTAGTCCAGGCTGGCCTCGAACTCCCAGTGATCCTCTTGCCTCAACCTCGCGAGTGCTGGGAATATAGGTGTGCGCCACCACACCCAGCCTCAGATTTTAAACTGACTTTAATCCAGTAAACTGGAATGTTCTCAGAGAAATAATTGGTTCTGTAGTTAGGCAGTGCTGCTAGGAAGAAGAATGTAAGAGGAGGGAAGAGATAAGCAATCACTTTTTAAAAGAGGCAGCTAGCCACATTTTTGAGTATGCTAAAGATAATCATAAATGAGTAAGAAAATGGTAAGGGCTAGACTTGTGCTCAAGTAGAGTACAAGACTTGTCAAGTACTTTACTTCAGTTTGCTTTGTGGGCTTTTGAAAGTAAGTAGATGTAATTGATCAGTGGTGACCTCTAATTTGCAACTCAAAGAATTTGTTAAAAGAATTGAAATTCAGTAGTCTATTCAAAGTGTTAATTATCAGCTCATTGCTGGGACTTTGTCACCTATGATCAGCTGAAAGCCTGTAGGGTTTATTTGCTTTTTGGGAGGTAGTGCTGTGTTGTAAAGAGCTTTACCTTTAATCTGGAAGAACTTCTGGACCCAGCCCTTAACATCCCTCCCAGCTCTGCCATTTATCTAACCTTTGAGCATTCAGAGGTTATGTGAATGGTCCAGTAAAAGTTAGGGAACCACTTTAAGAATTTGTAGTCTTGGTATACCTGGCTTTCAACTTTGGTTTAAAAGAAAAATAAGGTTTTGTTGGAGGTGGGATAAGCCTTCCTGCCCCCACTCCAAGCAGTTTTACTCTAAGCTGGGAAAGAAGATAAGAAATAATTATGATGATAGTTTTGAGATATTACAAAGCTCAGAATCCTATAAGGATAGAAGAGCTGGCTTAGGTGGGGGTGGCTTAGTGTTTGCATGCATGAGGCCTGGCGTTCCATTCGCAGTGCTGTAAAAAAAAAAAAAAAAAAAAAAAAAGTACATTCTTATTCGATGGTGTTTTAGTAAAATCTGAGTTTTAAAATTTTTCATTTAAATTTTTTTCTTTTTTGGTGGTATGTGGCCTTTACAACCTGTGGATTCTTGCTGCTCTGACTGCGGCTCTCAGTGCAACAGCTTCGCAACCAACTCAGAGCTTGTTGCTGTCACTGGCTTCACTCCAGAACCTCTAAATCATAATTGCATTTTAAAAGGATTCCCCAGGTGATCCACATGCACAGAGGAAGTGTGAAGCTTGCCTGTCTGTATCATTTCAGTGTTAAGAACCTCGTGCAGGTGCTAGCAAACAGCTGTCAGAGCCATTCTTGTTAATAGTCAAGCACAAGGCAGAGGTTTTTCTGTAAAAAACTAGTGATTAAGAGAATGATGTAATATCTAAAAATTAACACCTAGCTCATTAGGCATTTAATTGGCTTGCAATACATGTCAGCTGTCATTGTTGCTAGTTAATACGTCCTGTCTAAAGAAACATGCAAATGTCACCTCCAAATCATATATTTGAATAAAATATAATTTACTTCCTGATGATCTAAGCTTTTAAGTGGAATATTATTTGATAGTAAAGTTAATCTGAAATATTAAAATTAATCGTAAGTGCAATTGCATGGATTATGTCTTTTCAAAATGAAACCTAGACCTGTTGCTTAGCTGGGGAGAATATCTACAGCATTTACATATAAAACAATAAATGTGCACATGTTATGGAAAAGAATTGATTTGAACAACTGATTTAAAGTACTTCCTTCTTATGAGTGTGAATTCTCTGAGACTTTACTGGTTTTTACTCCCAGACACCACTTAATGAAATAATCATAGTATTGGCCTTTTGCTTTTGCTTATTGTTAATTTTATTTATCAGCTTGGTTGAAAGCAATCTTGCCCTTGGGATGAGATGGGTGTACTGTTGTATGTACTGTGATATGGAAAGACTTTGAATTGGATGAGGCTTTTTAAATAATTATTACAGTAGGTATGATTTAGCGAGGGATTACTTTTGCCATTCCCTTATTGAGGAGGAGTTTGAAGCATAAAGACTGTGATTTGTTTAGACACACAAGCTCAAATACTGATTAACTCCTCTTACATGAGAACTGCCCCCCAAGAAAAGAGAAAGAATGTGAAAGATAGACAGTAGGAAACAGAGAGATAGATCTTTTGCACACAGGGAGAGAAGGAGGGCAGAGAGGGGAAGAGAAAAAGAATCAAGATATGTTCAGTACATATACCTACGGCCAAAAGTGAATGTAAATATATACTGCAAGCATGTACTAATTTTTTAAAAAGCCGGGCATAGTGGCACTCAGGAGGCTAAAGCAGTATGTTTGTTGTGTTTGTTCAAGGCCAGTGTGGGCTACATAGTGAGTTCGAGAGCAGTTTGAACTAGATAGTGAGACCACGTCTCGAACAACAAAACATACTGTGATTCCGTTTCTTTCTGACTTGCCCTTTACTCCCTCATGAACACATGGATTTGAGTGCAGTACATCTCTAGACCAAGGGTGTTTCTATGATCTTTGGGCAGCGTGGTATCCTATGGGTAAGCTTTTCCAGTGCTGGAACAATAGAGTTAGGAGAGTTTTGGTATCTAGGTGGGCAGTGTGCTGTTCCTGTTGATACAGTCCTGTGTGATGCGGGCCTGCTTACCTGACAGGGCCCACTCTCATCTGAGACTGAGGGCACAGGCCTTCTCCAAGACATCGCAGTTCCAAAAGACCCCTCAGAAAGCTCTGGTTGCTCCACGTCCTCTCATCGAGGCTCTCCTGGGCCCAGTTGATCTTCTGACAGTGCCATTTTTTCCCCTTTTTTCTTTCTTTTTTAAAAGTGATTCAGTGTTTGAATCCAGAGCTTTCCTACTGAGTTACATTGCTATTCTTCTGCCTTCCCCCCCCCCCAAGTATTTAGAGACAAGGTCTCATGAAGTCTTCCATGCTAGACTTGAATGTGCAATCAGTCATTCTGCCTCAGCCTCCCAAAGTGCTGAGTTTACAGGTGTGTGCCACTGTCCCCTGCTGTGCATTTGTTTAGAACTTTCTATTATATAAGATGTGTAATAGGAGATGTTAAATTAAAATTTTAGATCTGCTTATCTTGATCATCTTTAAACCCATCACACTTGGCTTTCTTTTTTTTTTTTTTAATTTGTTTATTTGTGTGTGTGTGTGTGTGTGTGTGGCCAGCTCAGCCCACCAGGGGGCGCGGCTGGCTGGCATGTGGTGCTGGGGGATTGAACCACGGTCCCAGTGCATTGCTAAGCTTGTTCTAAGTAGGTGCTTTAGACCACTGAGCCATCTCACCAGCCCCACACTTGGCTTTCTTGATAGTAGAATGTGGGTGATAACAACTGTACATCTTAATTGTAAGAATTAAGGGGTTAAAGCACTTTAGTAACTCAGAGCCAAACTAAGTAATTACATTTCCAGGCTGGATACTGGTAGATCTTTTATTTGATGGAAATCGTCAAGTTATTATTATTATTTTTAATCTGGTGCCAGTTAGCATGATCCTTCACCATTTATTACTCTCTGGAGGATGTGCTGGGATGGGATATTTAAAAAACAAAACAGAATAAGACAAAACTCAACAACAACAAAACCTTGGACTTTTACTAAGATCCATGGCAAACAGATTAAAGGAACTACACACAACATAAAAATAGCCTGTGTTTACAAAGATGCAGACCCGATAAATGACTGGCCATAGACCCCGACAGAGGGTATTGGTCCCTGTGCTGGCCAGGCTGCTCAGCTGGGATTCAGCTGCTCAGCCAGGAAATGTTCTGCATTTTGTTTAGCATTGAAGATTCCTTTGTACTGCTGGCTCTGTCCCATCTGCAGGTGCATGCCTGTGATAGAGGGGAGGCTTCTCAGCTCTT